TGTGTTCTGTGATCTGGTACGAGTCTCTTAACCCTGTGAGATTCAGTTTCCTTGACTGTTAAAGTGTTCTCCAGTATCAAGACTAAATGAAAAAGGAGAGAGAGTGAGTGAGTGAGAGAGAGTGTGTGTGTGTGTGTGTGTGTGTGTGGAGAGATGTATTCCCCGCGGGAGGAATGATTCCTGATTTTCTCAAAATGGGACAATTTGCAGTAATGAGATTCAGACACTTTTTTTGCGAATGGGAGACCTAGTATCAACTCTCTGAACCCCAGGGCCTTAGTGGAATCACTGCTATCTTCCTCAGAATGCTACCTAAATATTCCCTTTCTTTTCTCCCCGGAACAAAAGTAGGTAGCAACCCCCTCCCCACTCCCAAATGCCCCCCAGTTGGGCCCTCTCCAGCTCCCCTGGCGAGGTTTGTGACCTGACGCCTGAGTCAGGGTTTTTATTGTACCCCCAGTCTTAATGTATTATTTCTTTTTCCTTTAGAGATGCACCCTTCCTATTATTTTATGTTCAAATTAATATTAGAATAAATATACAATCTCTAAGAACATACAAGTCACATGCCAGGTAGCGAGGGAGAGAGGAGAGACAGGTATTTCTCCCAGATAATCCACATACATGATGTAAAAATCACATATGCCTAGTTAAGATCATGTTCAATCCAGTTTGTCTCATTTATGATTAAAAGACAGCGATGGAAGCTGGGTATGGTGGCTCACACCTGTAATCCTAGTACTCTGGGAGGCTGAGGCAGGAGGATCGCTTGAGCCCAGGAGTTTGAGGTTGCTGTGAGCTAGGCTGACACCATGGCACTGAAGCCCGGGCAACAGAGTGAGACTCTGTCTCAAAAAATCAAAACAAAACAGGGATGGCACAGAAAATGGATAGTCCTCCAATCTGTATTTGCCAAAGGTTTTCATCTTTTTTCCTTGTGTAACTTCTCTATAGAGAAGAAAATGCCAGAAAATCAACTGATGCCATAACCACTCATACTTGGCAAAGTGCCAAAAGTGGGCTCTAGATTGGGGAAAAAAGGCAAAATAAAATAAAAAAACTACGACCACATTTTTGAAATCAACTTCTGTAGAAGTGATGAAAGACACAAAAAGGCATCTGTGATATGGCCCTTCCCCAGTCTTGTAACCAAACACAAGAAATGTTTTCTTCCTTCCTCTCCATCTCTTCACACCTACTGATCCTTCATGGACATAAAGTGGGTAAAATACCACCAACCTCATATGTTGGGAATAGTAAAAGAAATTTATTTAACAAACACTTAAGTAGCATTGACGCGGAGCCAGGCCTATTCTATTTTACAAATATTATCGCATCTAATCCTCCCAACAGTCCTATGAGATAGGTACTATTATCTTTATTTTACAGATGGGGTAACTGAGGCCCAGAGAGATAACTAAACATGCTGGAGGTTACCAGCCAGGACTTGGAAGAATCAGGACTCAAATCTGAGCAAGCTGCTCTGAGCCCCATACTCTTTAGCATCCCATGTGCTGCCTCTTTGAGATAATTTAGCCCCTTCATCAGTACCTGATTTGTGGCAGCCTCTATCAATAGTTGCTAACTTCACTATCGTTGTTATTTCTGTTGTACAATTCATTTCTACTGTTCTGAAAAGCTTTTCCCAACCAGCAAACGTCACTTACAGCCCACAAAGTTCACTTATGCCTGACCATCCTGACCTCGCGCGGGTTTTCTGCTCTATCCTTGCACACCCGTGTAGCCCAAGCCTCTAACACAAGGTGCACCGGCAAGGCATTTACTGATCTAGTCAGTGAAGGTGGGCCCGGCCCGGCTGGTTCTCTCCCAGCACAGAGATCTTTGATAAACGCCTGCAGGAATGAGTGAACGCCAAAGCTGGACACAGGTGTCTCTGCATGAAGAGCTGAAAGCCCTGCTCTCCGTTCCAGGACCTATAAAGATCGGGAAGAAGGTGCATATGCGGCTGCAAGATGGAGAAACCTCGACCTGAAGAGAGTGGGGCAAGTGACTGAGCTCAACTGCAAATTTTAATATTTTACTTTAGCGAGCAGCTTATTTCAAAAAGTCAAAAACGTTGGAAGTTACTGCTCCAAGCCACACAGTAACTCAGTGGTTTGTTTTCTTTCTACCGAACCGCGAGAGAAAGCGAGAGTCCGCAGCCGCTCTCCCCGCGCAGTAAGTGCTTCCAGTTGTCTGACCTCCATGCTGCCTACCCTAGCTTCAGCATTTCCCCTGGTTCTGAGTTCTCTCCCCAGTAGATCCAGGAGAATATCCCCGCCCCCACTAAACGAGAAGCTCACCAGGCCTAAGAGGGAAATCTAGGAGGGCCCCACAGGGCTTTAGAGTTAAGGTGGATTGTAAATTGCTCATGGCCTTTCAGTTCCGGGACAAAAACCACACTGGAAAGAGCCTGAGTCACCAACCGCTGCGGGAGGCCGGATGACCCCGCCCCGCGCCGGCTTCACGCTGGAGAGCGGCGTTTCCCGGGAGTCCGCGGGCGCGCGGGGACTACAGCTCCCGGCGTGCTCCGCGGCCGCCAGATTTAACCCTTCAGGGCAGGGGGCCGCGCTGCGACCCGCCCCCGCCCCCGCCCCATTCCCGGACCCTGCAGGGTGAGTTTTTGGAGGCTGGGGAGGACCGCTTTTCTCTAAGATTGAGAGAGAGAGAGAGAGAGAGAGAGTGAGTGAGTGAGAGAGAGAGTGTGTGTGTGTGTGTGTGTGTGTGTGTGGAGAGATGTATTCCCCGCGGGAGGAATGATTCCTGATTTTCTCAAAATGGGACAATTTGCAGTAATGAGATTCAGACACTTTTTTTGCGAATGGGAGACCTAGTATCAACTCTCTGAACCCCAGGGCCTTAGTGGAATCACTGCTATCTTCCTCAGAATGCTACCTAAATATTCCCTTTCTTTTCTCCCCGGAACAAAAGTAGGTAGCAACCCCCTCCCCACTCCCAAATGCCCCCCAGTTGGGCCCTCTCCAGCTCCCCTGGCGAGGTTTGTGACCTGACGCCTGAGTCAGGGTTTTTATTGTACCCCTGGTTGGAGGGTGAGTTCTCATGGAGGCCATAGGAACTCCCACATCCTTTCGGATTAGAGAATTTAGGCCCTTTGTCTCCCAGAGCCGGCTCTTCCCCGACCAGGTGCCACCACACAGGGTGCCTGAAGGTTCAGCAAGAGCCTTACCTTTTGTTTGACTTGAATGACCATGGGCTTGTGGAAAAAAGTTCCTTCCTTGGAAACATGGGTAGTGGGCGTTAAACCCGATCCTTCCCCCTATTCCCACCCCTAAACAACACTCGGTACAGGAGACAACAGGGAATGTCACACTCCCCTTTCTATTACTGTTCTTTCTTTATACTGTGCACAGTTCCAGTTCTGAGCTGGGGGACTGGGGGCCTAGGAACTACAGGTATTGGGGATTAGTAGACTGTGGGGTTAATCTCACCCACAGTTGAAGGGTAGGGGAGGGATTGGATGGATGAGCTGCTTGGTTTTTTTGTTTTTTTAACCTTTCACAGCTCCCAGACCCCACTATAACTTATCACAGTTCATACAAGCCTCCCTAAACCCCTTCACCCCTTCCTGGCCTTTCCAGAGTCTAAAGCTGTTGGATCCCCTCCTTGCCTCACCTCTATCTCAGTGTCACTGGCAAGCATCCTATCCTCACCCCGGAGGTTAACTCCTCCATTGTGGGCAGTCTCCAGCTTCCTCCTGCTGCCCCCAGAAGGAACATTGTTTGGGCCACCCTTTGGGGAGGCGTGGACAGAGGGAAGAAGACCTTGGGGCAGGAGTCCTGAGCCATAGGAAGCCAGGGGAGTTGAGGGCAGACGGGCATATCTCTCCTCTACCTCATCCTCGCCACCGCCAACTGGCTTCCTGCCCCTGCCCCCGCCCCTTGACATCCCAGGCTCCCTGGCTATTTAAACAGAGATGGGTGCCCCCATCGGCACACTGTCCTTTGGCCACCGGACATCATGCCTCCCAAGAAGGATGTTCCTGTGAAGAAACCAGCAGGGCCCTCCATCTCCAAGCCTGCTGCCAAGCCAGCAGCAGGGGCGGCCCCTCCAGTCAAGACCAAGGCTGAGCCAGCTGTTCCCCAGGCCCGTGAGAAAACCAAGGAGCCCCCTATCGATCTCTCCAAAGTGGTGGTGAGTCTCCGGAAAGTGAAGATAGAATTTGGGGGTGGGGGTTTGATGTTGCAATACAGCCTATGGGATTAGGGAGTATCTAGAAGGTAGAGAATCAATGAGCACTGGAATGGGATTGGGGGGTTACCCTTAGTCCCCCATTCGGAAGCATCCAGACTTACAGGGGACCGCTGTTGTCTCTGCTGTTCTCTCCCTCTAATATTTATGTATATGCACTTACACACTCACCCCCTGCTGGAGGCAGGGACTTTGAGATAGGGAACACCTGAGTTCTGAGGACAGTTTGAAGGTGAAGGGAAGAGAGCTGCTGCCTGCCCTGGCTGGTGGTTCAACTCAAAAGGCTGTAGCCCTGAACCCCAGGAGGGGAGGCTGAAGAGGACAGACTTGTTAGACAATCACAGCTGGGGGCCAGGGGTAAATTTAGCCTTTGTTCAGCCCCCAGTTATGTGAGGGATGCAGGGCTCAGGGCAGTGGAGGGAGGGGAACAGGTGGCATGGGATTAACCCTGTTCCCAGGAAACCCTCCCCCCCTATAATTCCTCCTCTTGGGATTCTCCCAAAGCCCAGAGCTGGGAATGGGACTGAGGTGGCTGGGCTCCCAGCCTGGTCCTTCTGAGCCCCTCCCCAGAAGTGGCTGCCAGTTGGTTTGGGAGGAGTGCTGGAGAGGGATTGAATAAGCCCTGTCATCTCTCCCCACCTGCTCTTTTCTTCCACAGATCGAGTTTAACAAGGACCAGCTGGAGGGTGAGGAGAAGCTGGTCCCCTAAGCCCACTGTCCAGTCCCAAGCCCCAGTCAGATCCTTTCTATTCCCCTAACCCCACTCCTGTCCATGAAACTTCCACACTAGTCCTCTTTTCCTCTCGTATCTGCCCAACTCTAGTACATAGTTTCTGAACCTTCCTTCTGTCTGGGGGTGGTGGGAACCCCTTGTCAACACTGATCTCTTCTTATACTTCAGAGTTCAAAGAGGCCTTTGAGCTGTTTGACCGAGTAGGGGATGGCAAGATCCTTTACAGCCAGTGTGGGGACGTGATGAGGGCCCTGGGCCAGAACCCCACCAACGCCGAGGTGCTCAGGGTCCTGGGGAACCCCAAGAGTGACGGTGAGAGGACCCTTAGAACAATGCAGGTTTTCAATTTTCAATGGTGAGATGTTGGTAAGGTGACAAAGCATGCTAGGGTGGATCTCAGGACTTCAAAAACTGTCAAACACAGGAGCAGAAAAACATTCTGAATGCTTAACATGATGCATGCTATTGTGGTAGGGGTGGAAACTGGGTCCTAGGTGATACCACAGTGACCTCTCCCTCACCTCTTTAACTTCTAGAGCTGAAGTCCAAGCGTGTGGACTTCGAGACTTTCCTGCCCATGCTCCAGGCAGTGGCTAAGAACCGGGACCAAGGCACATATGAAGACTACTTGGAGGGGCTTCGTGTATTTGACAAGGAGGGGAATGGCAAAGTCATGGGAGCAGAGCTCAGACACGTTCTCACCACCCTTGGTGAGGCAGGGACCAGAACTCCTTTGGGGTGGGAGGGGCGCGTGGACTAGGAAGGAGGTTGGCCAGGGAGGGGATTACTGTCCTGCAGGTCATGGGCAGGAGACTGAGAAGGGCCCAGCCATGGGAGCAGAAGCTTGAAGGACTTGTTCCTCTAGAGGCTAAAGTGCCTCCTAAAGGACAGAAGAAAGGGGATGAGGTGGGTGACCTGAGTTTTTGTTCTGGAATAAGATGCTTGTGTTCTGTGATCTGGTACGAGTCTCTTAACCCTGTGAGATTCAGTTTCCTTGACTGTTAAAGTGTTCTCCAGTATCAAGACTAAACGAAAAAGCAAGAGGCATCCATTACTGGGGAGGATTCCCTTGGGGGCTGTGTCTATGGGAAGTCTCCAGGATGGGAAAAGAGGAGGTACCACCCTGAAGTGCATGGCCCTTGGGTGGATGAGGGAGGGAAGGCAGAGGACAAACGCTGTGTCTGGGGTTCAGGAGAGAAGATGACTGAGGAGGAGGTGGAGACTGTTCTGGCAGGACATGAGGACAGCAATGGCTGCATCAACTACGAGGGTGAGGGCCAGAGGAGCAGGAGAAGGGCCAGGGAGGAGGGGAGCCGGCATCGCGCCGTGTGAGGGCGGGGGCACCCTGGATTACCTGGTCGGACTGGGTTATCCAAAGGCCCGCCTCTGAAGCCCTTCTTGCCTCCTCTCTCTGCAGCCTTCCTGAAGCACATCCTAAGCGTCTGAGCTTTACGGGTAGGGCCCTCCCACCCCCTCGCCCCATCTTGAGAGGCAAGTCTCCTTCCCTTCCCTCAGCCAGCGGAGAAAAGCAGGGGAGTGCATTTTCCTGTTCGGTTGCTGCGCGAGCGCCAGGGCTTGACAACTTTTGTTTTTTTCCACAGATCCAGTGGGGTCGGTCACCCAGCCCCTGCAGGCGGAAGCACGTTCCAGCCACTAGGAGGCCACTTATTGTTTCAAAATAAAGACACGGTTCTTCCCTTGGTCTCAGACTGCTGTTTTCTTAAGGGGGGTTGAGGGAGGTTCCTTTGATCTTTCCCTTGTTAGAGGAGCGGATTTATTGCGCTCCACCCCCACCCACCGCCTCCCGCTGTGAGGTTTCCGTGTCCATGTGGGGCTATTCTGGAGAAAGGAACCACAGCGGGCCCCGCCCACCTCGCTACTAATGTAGCAACCGTTTGCGTCAAGCCAGGCCAGGGCTCCTATTGGCTGAATCAGCCGAGGGTGACGTCATTGGGACGTACTAAGACTAGGGTTGGGCCTAGAGTCGGAGCCATTACTGCCGGAAAAAGGTCCCGCGGAGCTGAAGAGTCAAGATGGTGGGGCTTGAGACCTGGGAGATGAGCGGGATTTGGAGCGAGAGGCGGGAAGGCACGGGTGGGGGCAAGGGAAACGGAGGGGTGGGTGAAAAAGGAACCTGAGGGCTTGGAAGGTTGGAGGTGGGGTTGGAAATTCTGGGGCCCTGTCCTGCTGCGAAGCGAGTCCCCAGCGTAGAGCAGGAGTTTATGGTTCAGTTTGTGAGACTGGGATAGAAGCTTGGGGGATTGGAGTTCAGATGCTGACCGCTACTCTCTTCCCTGAGCAGTGTGACTTCACCGAGGACCAGACTGCAGGTAGGTAGTTTCTAACCCCCATTGAGGTTACCCTTAAGGAAAGGGACACCCCATCTAGCAGCTACCCTCTCACCCTAACTTGTCATCTCTTTAGCACCCCCATGAGAGTACCCCCGGATTCCCTTTTCGCTCCTTCTGGATCCTCCATTTTCTTTTCTCATTCTTTCTTCCTACCTCCCCTTCCACTCTAGATATGCGCCCCAAGCACTGGGTGAGTTTTAGGTGATGTGGGTATGTAAAAACAACTTGGTCACCTAATGCCTGCTGTGTGTGGGGTTTGGGGAGAGTGTATTAAGCTGCCTGTGCTCCTCTGTCCCTTAATCAGCTACTTCTGCTTCTTCTCACCTCCTGTGATAACTCTTCCCCTCCCCAGCTTGAAATTGTGAAGATTGTAAAGAGCAGTGGACCTGATATTTTGTGAATATGGGGACAGGAGAGTTTGCTAAGGATAGGACTTTGTAGCTCTACCCTCTGGAAGGTCGCTATACTGGAGGGGTGGGAAGCGGCAAGCTGGGATGACCCCAGTCCCAGTGCTGCTCCCACTTCCTTATAAGGACAGGACTCAGACTGGGCGGTGGCAAATTCCTGCCCTCAGTGAGGTAGTGCAGAGGTTGGGCAGGCCAGCTGCAGGCAGGGGTGTGTGTAAATGGATGTTAACCATGCAGCCAGAGGGGTGGGGAAGAAGGCTCTATCTTTATGTGAGACACCCGAGTTGGGAGGAAGAGAAATGGATCCCTCTTAGAAGACTTGGGTGCACAGTGTGGTACAGATATCTGGTTTCCTCAGCCATCATCAAAGTTGAATGGGTAGCAGAGCTCTGAGGTAGGGTTTGTGTTACCCCCCACATCCCCAGTGCTGATGTTCATCTGAATCCTCAGAATTCAAGGAGGCCTTCCAGCTGTTTGACCGAACAGGTGATGGCAAGATCCTGTACAGCCAGTGTGGGGATGTGATGAGGGCCCTGGGCCAGAACCCCACCAACGCCGAGGTGCTCAAGGTCCTGGGGAACCCCAAGAGTGACGGTGAGGGGCCTCAGGAACAATTTGTGTGGTAGTGGGCCCACAGTTCTTCAGCTCGGAGCTTCCCTTTATCTTCATAGGCCCCAAACTCAAGCAAGTCATGTCTTGATTAGCAAATCCCATGATTTCCCTGCTTTGTGCAGGAGTCATCTGTTCAGTTGAGATCCCCAGAGTCCCATCTTGAGAATTTGTGTGACTTCTCTGGCCTGACACTTCCACCTCCTTTTATGGCAGAGATGAATGTGAAGGTGCTGGACTTTGAGCACTTTCTGCCGATGCTGCAGACCGTGGCCAAGAACAAGGACCAAGGGACCTATGAGGATTATGTCGAAGGCCTTCGGGTGTTTGACAAGGAAGGGAATGGCACCGTCATGGGTGCTGAAATCCGGCATGTCCTTGTCACACTGGGTAAGGCTCTGTGCCCTTGTCCTTGAGCTGAGGAGCCACCCTGATATACCTCACCTGTTACCCAGTTCTAAAAACGCTTTCCCTCTGCAGGTGAGAAGATGACAGAGGAAGAAGTCGAGATGTTGGTGGCTGGGCATGAGGACAGCAATGGTTGTATCAACTATGAAGGTGAGGGGTGAATTGGGGCTTTCTCAGAGGAGGCAGCTACATGCAGCGGGTCAAGTATAGCATTTGGGGCTTTCCCTATCCCTGGACTAGGGCTCTAAAAGGAGCCAGGAGGCACGGGGCAGGGCCTGGCCCAGCCCAGGAGTGGGAGGTCAGGTGGGTATGACAGGAAAGGGAGGGGTGATGTTGTGTGAAAGGTGGGCAAGAAATGCAAAGTAAAATAAATGGAATGGAATGTCTGTTTCCCCACTGCCTGACCCCTTCACCCCATGTCTGTGTCTTGTCTTCACCATTAATGTCTCTTCCTTCCTGCAGCGTTTGTGAGGCATATCCTGTCGGGGTGACGGGCCCGTGGGGCGGGTACGGCTCCTCCCAGCCTCCCCTCTAGTTGATCTCCCCAGTGTTTCTTTTTTTCCCCAACCTGTGCTCTCTAGCCCTTGCCCTGACCCTACTACCATCTGACTTCCTTCTGGCATGCTTCTGCATGGGACTGACTAGGGAGGGGAGGGATTCCTCAAAGAGGAAGACAGCCTAGGGCTATGGTACCTCCCTACTTGGTTTTGCTTATTGGGCCCTGGGTGCTGGTGTCTGGGAACTCTCACCAGCCTACATACCAGTCTTGCTTTAGGGTGATCCTTTGGCCCTGGAGCATGGGTAGCTGGCATGGGGGGATGGGTTGCCTGCCCCATTCTGCTGCTATAGCTGAATAGTCCTTTCCCCTTCCCTCTGCTGGGCAGCTTGGAGGTACCCTAACCCAAAACTCTGCCCTCTCCTCCCTCCAGTGGCTGGCAGTAGCTGTAGGTATAGTTGAGAACTTTGCTGCCTCTGCTGTGTTCTTGCTGCTCAGGGTGGGGTGGGGGATTAACAGCTGGTGGGAGGGGAGCTAGGGGCAGGGAGAACTGGTCAGACTCAAGGTGGCTCTTCTGCAAACTGACCCCTGAGGTTGGTTGCTATGGGCATGTCTTCTCTTATGCTACCTTTGCAGTCTTGTAGTCTCCTGGCCCCTGGTGTACCCCTCCTCAGCCCTGCTCCCAGGTTCACCCCACCTTTCCTTTCCTTTCCAGAGCTCGTCCGTATGGTGCTGAATGGCTGAGGACGCTCCCAGTAACCCTAGAACCCGTGCCTTTCCCTGTGTGAGACTGTATCTAGTCTGAAGGTGTCCTAGGCTATCTGGTCACAGCACTTTTCCCACCTTGTCTCTGGGATGATGTTTGCCATCAGCATTCACCAAATAAACTTGCTTTCTGTGCCCCTAATTTGGTTCTGCTTTCCTTCCTGAGCAGGGTAAAGGGGAAGAACGTGAGATGGTTGAAGATTTCTGCCCTGAGGCAGAGTCCAAGGCTGAGGAAAGCTGGGGAGGGGCCTATAGTAGCATGCCCCACTCATCCATGCTACAAAAGCTACCCCTTGGGGGATTAAAAAAGCTATAAATTCCTGTAGGAACAAGGATGGCCAGCCTTGTTCCATCCCATATCAGGTTGAGTCTTTTCTTAGCCCTCCAGCTCCTTAAACTCAGCCCCTACTATCCCAAGTACTTAATAAGGCCCTTTGTTGGGAGGCCTGGAGAGTGTTTATTGGAGGTAAAGCCAGGCCATATTAGTGCTGCCTGAGTCTGTCACCTTGGCAGGGCCAGGGGCCTGCCTCCTCCCTAATAAAGGGAAGGAGTGAAGCCACTACTTCTGAAAGGATAAAGGTACAAAATCTCCATGTTGTAGGAATGTGCTCCCAAGTGTTATCCACTTTTAAGGCAGATGAGAGCTTCAGCTCCTATACCAGTACAGTCCTGACAGACAGGTGTGCTGTCTTTGGCCTTTTGTGGTGTGGCACAGTGTCTAGGCCCTGTGGCTTAGAGTGCCTGCCTTTCCAGTCCAGGTAAATGCCCTTCCCATCCTAGCCCCACTGCCTGCAGCCACAGGTAAGAGAACACAGAAGGCATCCACAAGATGGAACTGAAAGCAAATTAATTTATAAAAAAAAAAAAAAAAGAAGAAGAGAAAATTTACAGAAAACTTTGAACAGAAGAAAGGTGCCAAGACGCAGAGGAAGAGAAACACAGGGACATGAGGAACGAAGGGGCCTGGCGGGAGGGACCAAGAATTGGCATAGAGCCTGGAATCACATCTGCCTTCACATCAAGGATGAGGAAGGGAGGAGCTGGAACTGGGAAGTAGGAATCCAGGGAGCAGAGCCAAGCTGCGAGCTGCAGGTTGGTACTACCCCAGGTTGGGCACCCTCTGCTGCTCCCAAATCCCTGTGTCCTCATCTGGGGACACAGCTAGGGGTAGCTATCAGCTGAAGTGCTGATAGTCTGGGTGGCAAAGGGAAGAGGCTAGGGGGTGACCCACTGAGTCATAAGGAGGTGCTTAAGTGCTTTTTGAAAATTTTAGGTTTTTAAAATTCTCCTTTTATAGGTCCCCTTTCTGTGCCTTCTCAGAGTCCACTGATACTGCCCAGGGACGTGAGAAGAACAGCCCCTACTACCTACCACAGGAATCTTCAAAGATAGGTTTTCCCCACCAAATACACATACGCCGACATCAACTAAGCAGGTGACTTTTAAAAATAAAAAAAAACCCCTGACATTCAGAGGGAAAGGGATCATTGGCTGAGCTGGGGTGGCCTAAAACAGCAACAAGGAGGAAGCAGTGGGAGAGATTAGTACAAATAAAATGGGGGTGGAGTAGGTGAGGGAGGCTGACTCGGTCACTAGCAAGGGGCTTGGGGAGACAGGTTCTGCCCCAGAATCTTAATTCCCCTTTCCTAACACTGTCACCACCACTATCCACCCCCCCACCAAAATGTAAAAGTTGGTTATTTTTTAGGTTAAAGGGAGCTCCCATGTGGCTTTTAAAAATCTCTCTACTTCCTTTAAGGACTTAATTTTTTTTTTTATCCATAGAAAATGCAGTAGTTTTGAGGGGGGTGTACCCTTAGAAGTGGTTAATTAGAACCTTGTATAAACACCTTTGCCCAGCCCTTCCTTTGAGGACAGCACTCCCGCCCTATCCTCTCCCAGACATTAGAAACATCTTTTAAACAGAAGTCCTTGAATAATCCGATATAAAAATGCATGCCTGTTAGGCATGGTGGGGGCTTTGGAGGGGCAGGAGGAGCTTTCCTTACGTAGTGATGAACTCTCCAGGCTGGGGAAGGGTCCCAGTGGTGGGGGAAGGGCTGTTCCTGGAACCGTGATCTCCACAGGGGGTGAGGGGGAGAGATGTCTGGCTGGCTCGTCACTGTGGAGGTGGCACGGGGGTGACCGTGCCTGGGCTTGGGGCCGTGGGGTCTGGAGGCAGGGGGGTGCCTGGGTCTGTGGAGAAAAGGAAGATGAGTCAGGGTGAGCAAGAGACAGGTGTCCAGACCAAGGCCACCACAGACAAAACAGAACCAGGCATGGCATGCAGTGGGTGGGTAGATGAATGAGGTACCCACAATGTACGACTTCCTTCTCCCAATACCTTCTTGTACCTCACACTGGAAAAAACTGATATGCCCAAAATCATCCTCCTACCTCCAATGGAACTCTCTAAATGGGGCATTTGAACGTATTGGGAACAAGCAAAGGAATGCCAATCAACCATCATGCAAACAAGTAGCTGTTTTTCAAGTTTACAACTGAGATGCTCTGTGCCACAGGACTCCTCCGTGACCCACCAGTGAAAGGCCCCAACATCATCCCAGAGGTGGCAGCTGCCAGGGTGGGAAATGGTGGAGGAGAGCCAGAGAGGCCCTTCCTCTTATATTCTAATTGTACCAGAGTGTTCAAGAAGGATTGTGGAAACTCTAGCACCTGATCCCTTTCCCCCCATACTCCCTCCCCTCCAAGGTGGTTCCCTCTCCCTCACCCTTCTCCCCTCCTGGCCCCTTCTCACCTGGCAGTGGGCTGGCACTGGGCAGGAGGTTGCCCTGAACAGCTGCCACAATGGCAGGGCTCTGGGCTGCGGCGGATCCGAGCCCCGGCCCGAGAGGCAAGGAAGATGGCATGGTGGTGGTCGCCGGCAGGTTAGGATGTAGAGGGTTCGCCATGGACACAGGCAGGTTAGGTGGGGGGAGAGTGCCCGAGGCGAACGGGAGATGGTGGTGATGCCCATGCAGGTTAGGAGGAGGGGGAAGGTTAATACTGATGGAGTCGGCTAGACTACCAAATGGGATGATGGATGGAGCAGGAGGAGGAGGAGGCGGCATGCCAAAAGGCAAACCCAAAGGAGCATTACCCGCCACGCCTGGGTGCCCGCTGCCTGGCACTGCCCCTGGCATCATTGAGGGAGGAGTTTGTTGGTTGGGGAACGGTGAGGGGCCTGAGAACAAAGAGGAGAGATGGAGGTTAGAGGTATAAAATCTCACTTACCAACTCACTTTCACAGCAAGGATAATCTAGCCACTCCTTGGCACTACCTTCCCTTTTCCTGACAATAGAATAAGTGGTAAATCCTTGGAACAAAATTCCAAAGTTCTGGGTTTGGGAAGGGATCCCTGCTGGCTTAGGGACATAACAGAGATAGGCCCATCTGTAGAGATTGAGGCCAATCCTCATCTCCAGGCCCATCATGTATCCCTTTTGAGAACTGGGTCATTCACCTGGATCCCTCTAGCCAGCAAGAGTTCTTGGAACGTATCACTTACCATGGGGTCCAGGGGGGGGTACCCCTGGTGGGACTGCCCCAGGCTGGGGGGCTCCAGCTGGTTGCTGCTGCTGTGGCCCTGCAGTTGACCCTGCCTGCCCAATCTGTTCAGAAGGGCCCAAGCTTCCAGGAGGGACCCCACTGCCAGGAGCAGGGACCACAGAGGCTGGAGCCACAGCCAAGCCATGGACTGCGGGTGGCCCAGCAGCTCCTGTTGGGGGGATAGGCTGGGAGCCTGGGGGCAGGGTTGGCGGTGGCTGCTGCTGCTGTTGGTGCATCTGTTGGAAGTGCTGCTGCCGGGCCCTCATCTCCGCATACTTCAGCTGCTCCATGTGGAAGGCTTGTCTGTCAGCCAGGAGCTGCTGCCTCTGATACTCCAGCTGCCAGTGCCAATTGAGTATTGTTATCCGATTTTCAGAAGATCCCAAAGGCAAATGCCTTGCCCCCTGCTTTGTCTTCTTCTGAAAGATCCAGCCTCTCATTTAGCTGGTTCCCAAAATCTAAATCTTGTGCTTGCGATTCCTCTGTCCTCCCCACCCACCTCTTGCGAATTCCCATGACCTTCATGTCTCCTGGCTGCCCACATGGTTTCTCATTTCAAGGAAGTTAATCTGGTGGTAGCCCCAGCTCATTTCAGCTCCAAAGTTTTGAACTTGCCATTACTTTGTTTTGGAAAATGCTTCCAGTGTCTCTTGTCAATTCAAGTTCTTTTCTTCCTTCAAAATTGGCTAACAACTCACCATTCTTAGGAAGCTATCCCAGATCAATTCACTAGCTTCTGATCTTTGGCTTTATTCTGTGATCACTCAGGACTTCTATACTTGATTTGAAATATCTTAATTTGAATTTTTCAGATAATTTATGCTTTGTTAACTGTTTCTGATATCTCCATATTGTACATTTGATGTCTCCAATTAAACTGTAAGTTAGTTCTCTGAGGGCAGGGTCCTTCTCTTCTATTTCTTTTCTTTTTTTTTTTTTTTTTGAGATAGAGTCTCACACTCTGTTGCCTGGGCTAGAGTGCCTTGGTGTCAGCCTAGCTCACAGCAACCTAAAACTCCTGGGCTCAAGCGATCCTCCTGCCTCAGCCTCCAAACCAGCTGGGACTATAGGTGCACACCACCACGTCCAGCTAATTTTTTTATTTTTAGTAGAGACGGGGTCTTGCTCTTGCTCAGGCTGGTCTTGAACTCCTGACCTTAAGCAATCTTCCCGCCTTGGCCTCCCAGAGTACTAGGATTATAGGCGTGAGCCACCACACCCGGCCTCTTCTATTTCTTTGTATGTCCTCTCAAACACACAAAATAGTTCAATACCTTAGCTATCCCATCCCCTTTCCAAGTTCACCTCCTGGATCTGAGGCCCTTAACCTCTTATCATCCCTTAAGCCCATTCAACCACTCAACAAATATTTATTGAGAGTCTGCTGTGGGCCAAGCACTGGTCTAAGGGACCTCAGTGTCTAGGCTTCACTTGTGAGGCCACCTGTCCTTAACTGCGAGGGGCCAGCTCCCCCTGCCCTGGCTTGCCCTCTTTTGCTTTGGAGCCCTGTCAGTTTCTGGCTTTCTGCACTGCTGCTTTCCTCACCATTCTTTCTCACACACACACAGCCCTCCAATTTTAACCTGA